ATACTTATATATATAATACATATATATATATATATATATATATATATATATATATATACATATATATACATACATACATACACACATATATACTCACATACACCAACAACGACACCGACTCCTCAACAGTCAGCTCCTCACCAGCTGCAGATGCCCGCAACCTCTGCGCCCGAGTCATGACAGCAACTCCACGCGCGCGATGCACATCATACTCTCGCTCAGCCCGACGCACGGACTCTTCCAACACCGACTCATCAGGCTTGACAGTAGTCGTCATGAAAGTACACGACCCAACCACATGCTCAATCGGTTTCAAGGCAAAACCACCCAAACTGGGGTCATGGCCACAACGGACCGGCTTCTCAACAACACCAGCCACTGCCGGAGCTACTCGATCCTGCACTATACAAGACTCCAAGTCATCCGGCCGATTCGCCAATGCCCTAACCAACGCACTGGTCACAGGTCGATGCGCATCCACCGCCGCCCAAAACCCCTCGGCCGAAGTGAACTTCTCACAACGCGGACTGAGATGACAAATCAACGTCACAAACGGCGGCGGTGGCATAGGCTCACGCCCATACCTCAAGAACACCCCATGCGCAGGCGGAATCACAATCGGCGTATCCGCCAACGAAGGTACCATCTGCTTAAACCAAGCAGTCTCCGGATAATACGGCACGACCAGTGTCGCAGTGGCCCTATCCGCCTTGACCCTCTGGACCCCAGCATCCAACTTGGAGAACGGAGCGTTCATATACCAACTCCGCCCAAACCAAGTGTCCAACGCGAACACCCCACCTTCCACAGTAGGCGAGTTATACGGCACCATCAAGTTATTGTCCGGCAACGCGAACCCTTCAGCATGAAAGGGGCCTACTCACTGCAGCGCTTTGTCAAAATACCTGAGCGCCAACGAGTACTCTTCCGTGTCTGGTACCGTAACCAAGGGATCCGCAAAACTCACACGCTTCTATATCAGCGGAGACTCCACTTGCATAATCGGATCAACATGGTAGCCTAACCGGGACATCACATCTGCTACCGGATTATCTTTTCCCGGAATATGCTTCAAAACCAAGTTCGGGTCCCTCAAGACCTGAACATACCGACCCATACGCCTGCCTCGCACCGAGTCCTCAAACTCGTGCGGCTCTTTCTGCATCATAGCCATTGTGAGTAACTTATTTAGTTCACAAACGGTTTAGAGTGAATCAACGTTCATACTTTATACGATCCAAGTAGTGTATTAGCATACAAGGTTAAGAGGACTGATCATCCCACAACCCAAACCTATATAGCCCTAACTAGACATTACCTGCCGTCAGAACCTCTGGTCACTGACGCAACATCTCACTTCTCGCCATATATTCTACACCACTTTTGCACTACACGTTTCAATGATTTATTCTCTTCTTCTATACGGCTGCGCTAGCAATTCCCCTGTTGAATCGCAGGTCCTCCTGCAACCACAGGTGTGCCGTCGGGGTCAGGGGCTGGGTTTCCCCCGAACAGTATCGATACACGAGAAAATCCTAACTAGAGGCTTCATACACTGTGGAAAGGGGTGGGAGTCCCTATACTCTCGCCGGTCGCTATTGACCAGCACCGTATACGACCACATCGAGGAGCACGAGGCATCTGTATCGCCGGCTACGGAGGATATATACTGCACGGGAGAGACCCAGCACCTGACCCCGACGGCACACCTGTGGTTGCAGGAGGACCTGCGATTCAACAGGGGGATTGCTAGCGCGGCCGTAACCTGCCCTGAGTGGTTTGAGGAGAAGGGGAAGCTCGCCGCAATCGAACTGACGAATCTGGTTCGTCACATGAACTTCCTAACACACAGTTTGCGACAGATAGACCTAGGAGGTTATCCACTGGAGGAGAGAGAACGTTTGTTTAGAGGAGTTATATTCACACTGTCCCGTGATATAGCACTAGTTATATATAGATATCTATATATATATATATGCATAGATATATATATGCATATATATATATATATATATATATATATATAGATATATATATATATATAATAGTACTATATATATATA